TCAAAAAAAAAAAAAAAAAAAAAAGACTTTTTTTTTTTTTTACCATTGATTAAATGAAGTAATGTGTCTTTTTAAAGAGACTTATATTCTATAAATAAAAATTGGTTGTAACAATAAAGTTGGTTTCTAACTGCAAAAGAAAAAATTCTCAATGTGAATATTTTTCTAAAAAGTTTTTTTCTAGAAATATTTCTCTTTCTCAGCCCAGTTTTTAACTTTGCTGGCTTAAAGTTTAAAAATATCAAACACTATTTTATTAAAATATTTATAACTGATTTTTCTATTAAAGGTACTATACAACAGATGATTTTGCACCATCTACCACTATGTGGAACAGATATTTTGTCTTCTGTCTCCTGCTTTTGCCAACTTTTATGAATCAAACAGTGTTTGGACAAAGAAAGAAAGGACCAAAGCCAAGCTCACTTGCTAGGAAAAATAATTTCCAAGGTAAAAAAAAAAAAAGAAAATAATAATTTCCAGAAGGCATTGTACTTTTGGGGTGGGGGGTGCATAGAGAAAGCATTCCTCCCAGTGGGCAAGGTCATGCTACAATCCCTTTCCTCCATTTCTCTTCCCCATCAGGAGTTTGGCAAGCATGTACACATGCCCAGCATGTTTTTAATGGTGTGTAGGCCAGAATTTGAACTGGAGTCAACCACATGGGATCCAGCTCCCAAGGCACAGTGCTTAAACACTGTGCTGTGGGGCTAGCCCTGTTCTCATTTTTAGGTATTTGTTTTTGCTGGCCAAAACACTGATAGGAATTTTTCTAAATAGCATTTGATATAAGTAGCAAACCACACATATATGTATACATGTGGCATTCTACTTTGATATAATTCTATTATAATATAACTTAATACTTACAGAACAACAGTTTTTAGAGTACTTGTGCATTTATAGTCTCATTTGAGCCTCACCATAATCTTGTGAAACAGACAGGGCAGAGACTGTCATTCTCATATTACAGATAATGAAATTGAGATCCAGTTAGGTTAAGTGGTGCATTCAAAGTTGTGGGCAAATCCACTGGTAATATACAGAGTTAGAAGGCAACTTAAGTTCTCTGTTCTTTTTTTATGATTATTTTTATTATTAAAAGAGGTTTTTGCTATAGGGCATATGTGTGGTCACGTGTGATAGAGAGACAAAGTGAGAAATCACTCTCCAGGGGCGAAGCCTCACTGCAATCCCTTCTCCTCCACTCTCCTCTCAGGATTTTGAGCATGCACACACAAACACACCTGGCATGAATTTCATGCCACTAGGTCTAGGGCTCAAACTGTGGTCGGCCATGTGGGCGTCCAGTGCCTTATCCACTGTGCTACCTGCTGGCCCCTAAGTTCTCTGTTTTTATTTTTCCCTTAGTCTTTCTGTGATGCATATAATCACTTGCTCCCTTGATTTGTTTTTTTAATGAACCATTACTTTCTTTTTAAAAAACGAATAATTTTATTTGACTTTATTTATTTATTTTAATTTGACCAGAGAGGAACAGAATGAGACAGAGAGGGAAATTGAGAAAGCAAGCTGTCAGGTTCGGTTGACAATGTGGGAATTCAGTGCCCTTAACCACCACACCACCTGCAGACCCTGCTCCCTTGATTTCAAGAAAAGTAAAACTAAGATCAGTAGATGGCGTAATGGTTATTTTGCTGAACTCCCACTGTAGTTCAAGTCCTGGACCTAGTGGCTTAAAATTCACACTGGGTGCATGTGTGTACATGCCCAAAATCCTAAGAAGAGAATGGGGGCGAATGGATTGCAGTGTGGCCATCCCACAAAAGGGGGTGATTTCTCACTTTCTGTCTCTGTCTCTTTGGTGACCACACATACCCTATAGCAAATCTCTCTTAAAAGAAAAAAAGAGAGAGACAAGTAAAACTAAATAAATAATATGTGATATACCACTTCAAGGCTTTCTCTATGCAATATTCTTTTATAAATAGGGATAATTATTTTGCCTAATCTTTTTGTCCTATTTCAGATTCCATTTGCTTCATTGATGTTGTCTTCATTGTGGACAGCTCTGAAAGTTCTAAAATCATCCTCTTTGATAAACAGAAAGATTTTGTGGAAAGCTTGAGTGACAAAATTTTCCAACTGACCCCAGGCCATTCCTTGAAATATGACATCAAACTGGCAGCCCTTCAGTTTAGTAGCTCTGTCCAGATTGATCCACCTTTTTCTTCTTGGAAGGATCTGCAAACATTTAAGCAGAGGGCTAAGTCTATGAATTTAATTGGGCAAGGAACCTTCTCTTATTATGCCATCTCCAATGCCACCAGGCTGCTTAAGAGAGAAGGGAGGAAAGGCGGAGTGAAAGTGGTTTTGCTGATGACTGATGGCATTGACCATCCAAAAAGTCCAGATGTTCAAAGTATTTCTGAAGATGCCAGAATTTCAGGAATATCATTTATCACCATTGGACTTTCTACTGTAGTCAATGAAGCCAAACTTCGTTTGATATCTGGGGAGTCATCCACTGAACCCATTCTCCTATTGAATGATCCAGCCCTTATAGATAAAATTAGAGATCGTCTGGTAGGTACCTAGGAGGTTGATTGGTTGATTATATTTTTATCATTGTAATATTATCTTGGTTATAAATTCTATAAGAAGAAATGTTGGTCAAAAGATGAAAAATATAGAATCTACCTTCATAATTTTCTAAGAAATAGAAGTGTCTTCTTTCTGAAGTCTCTCTTACCTTCTTGATATTTTACACCAGGTAAACTAGGGAAGTACAAAGGTCATTCCTTGGAATTGCATTCCTAAATTTTTTCTAGCCAATACTGAAGATGTTGAGATTACTTTCTAATTAGATAAGTCATGCTTCTATTTATATATCCTATGATTATGAACACTGCTGACTTATATTCATTTTGGGGTCAACTTGTGGTCTGTTATATTTATAGTAAGTTGATCTTTTCTCATTCCACATCTGCATAAATACTTTTGACTCTGACCTATCACACATTATGCTACTCAAGCAAAGTTCAAAGGTTTCCAAATTTTAAATTATCTTCTTGTTTCTTAGATATTAAGTTCTTTTATTTTAAAATCACTGCAACTTCATATTCAGTCATAAATTCACCCGTAAGATCAATGAGTCCCACTTGATGGGTCTGATTAGCTGTGTCAATGTTTTTCTTTATTGGATGTTCTGCTCTCTGTGTGAGCTTTTTCTGCTTCAGAAAACACAAGGCAAAGCAATCAAAATTAAATCTCTCTTCACAGTATTTCTCAAGGAGAAAACACCTCGAGATAAATTGGTAGATGTGCTAAATATTGATTTTCTTAAAAATACTGATTTCTTTGATTTCCTGAGAAGAAGATAGGGAAGAAGTGTCTTTTAGGTATTGAGCATTTCCTATGGTTATTTTCTATAGGTTGCAAAGAAAACTCAGACTGTATTTTAGAGTTTGTTCTTCTATTGTCCTTTCTCCCAATCCTTTTCCCAATATTGCTCTTATTTTTTTACTCTTAGTTGTTCTCAGCTTGAGACCTGAATTTTTCTTGTCTATCTAATAGCTATCATCAATTGAGTACTTTCTATGTTATCAGGCATTGTTCTGAGCACTTAAAGAATTTTGTGTTTTGCAATGTTTATCACAATCTTATGATGTATTATAAGATTATTGTTATTATGCTCACTTTACAGTGGAAAATTTAAGGCCAGCAAAGATCCCAGAGTCTGCATGACCCTGTAAAGAAATATTAAGAAAGTTAATAGTGAGGGTTTGAAAGGTTTTTTTAATCAGAAGTACCTTGAGGGGACCAGCAGTTAGCGTAACGGCTATGTTGCTGGACTCCCATGTAGTCGACCATAGTTTGAGTCCCGGACCTGGTGGCTTAAACTCATGCTGGGCGCGCTTGCGTGTATGCCCAAGATCCCAAGAGGAGAATGTAGGAAAAGGGATTGTGGCATGGCCATCCCCCCTAAGGGGTGATTTCTCGCTTTCTGTCTCTCTGTCTCTGTCTTTCTGGCGAGTGCATGCACTCTATGGCTAAAACCTCTCAAAAAAATAAAATAAAATAAAATAAAAGAAGTACCATGAGACAAGTAAGCAACATCCCTCCTCCAAAGTTACAATGATTTCTTACCTGTTCTTCTTGGAGATTGGGAGTAGATTAGAGAGTTCTGCCTAAGTCCAAGATAGAGATGATGGGCTAAGCCTCGGGGTGCTTGGGGTGAGTGCTCATTCTGAGCAACTCTTGGGCATGAAAGTGCAGTAGTACCTGGCTAATTACCTAGCACTGCTTGCATCATGGGTTAAGGTGTAGTCACCATTTAACACAGATGGCTCCATCATATGTTGGAGAGAATCCTGGAAATACGATGAGTCACCTGTTGCTACTTTCCATCTTCCCCTGAGGGTGAGAAGAGCTGACTGTAGAAGATGCAGTACAGGCAGCTCCTTGTTTGGCCAGATGTGTAGGCTCAGGATGTTCATACTCCCCACAGACATACCCTCACCAAGATCCACAAACTGAGAACGTAGACACCTGGCAGGAGACTGGGAGCAGGACTGTTTTTCTGTTTCTGGGGAAACCAAAAAATTCACCAACAACACAGTTCTTCCTTTGCATTCTGTGATTTCGGCTTGTTTGTTCAGATGTAAGCTCTGTGAATAAGTCACTTCTTGAAGGAGGTACTGCTTTCCAAACACTTCCAGAACCCAAAGTGCTTATTAAGCTATTCAAAGGGTGATATTCCAAGGCTCCATGTTACAAACTGCCACCATCTGGAAGCAGAACTTTAATCTTAATTAGATAATTGGAAAAATTTCTTATCCAATCCATTTCTGTTACATCTTTATTTGTATTTTTTAACTTATTTATTTATTTAGGAGAGGTTTTTTCTATAGAGTGTATGTGCTCTCCAGAAAGAAGAGAGAGGTAGAGAGACAGAAAATGAGAAATCACCCCCTAGAGGGAATGGCTACACCACAATCCCTTCTCCTCCATTCTCCCCTTGGGATCTTGGGCACGCATGCACACGCACCCAGCGTGAGTTTAAGCCACCGGTTCCTAGACTTGAACTGCGGTTGACTACATGGGAGTCCAGAGACATAGCCATTATGCCAACTGCTGGTCCTGACATCTTTATTTTTAAAGAATAATTTAGTAGACTTTTTAAACAAACCGATTAGGTATAATGTAAGTACAAAACTGCATCTACGTCAGTGCACAATTCCAAGAGTTTTGACAGAGGTATACACCCATCAAATTACCAAAAAAAATTAGGAAATGGTACATTTCCAGCATTTCCAAATGTTCCCTTATGCTTCTTTGTAGTACATCCCTCTCTTGGTGTTGAGCTACTGATCTGACTTTTGTCACTCTAGATTAGCTCATGCTTTCTAGAATTTTACGTAAATAAATTCAGGTAGTATTTACTCTTTTTGTATCAGGTTTCTTTTTTTTTTTGGAGAGATTTTCACTGTAGGGCACGTGCACTCACCAGACAGACAGAGAGAGACATAGAGACAGAAAGCGAGAAATCACCCCCCGGGGGGATGGTCACGCCGCAATCCCTTCTCCTCCGTTCTCCTCTCGGGATCTTGGGCACGCACGCACACGCGCCCGGCGTGAGTTTTAAGCCACCGGGTCCGGGACACGAACCGCAGTCGACTACGTGGGAGTCCAGCGACATAGCCATTACGCTAACTGCTGGTTCCCATATCAGGTTTCTTTTATCCAGCATAATAATTTTGAAATTCATCTGGGTTATATTTTTGCATCAGCAGTTTATTCCTTTTTATTACAGGGGAGACTTTAGTTGACATGAGTCTCCAGAATGAATACATTTTGCAGGAGCTAAGATAAATTATAATATCATTGTACATTCTTCGACACCTCTAGGAAGAAGTATCATGTTATTCTAAATTGAAGGGTACATGGAAAATATTTTCATTGCTATTTTATACTGATTTACAATACAGTACTGATACCTAAGAAACTAGTTCAACCAAATGTCCTAATTATTACTTGGTACTTTAGAATAATAAGAGATATTTAAAAGCAAAACAAAACAAAGCAAAACAAAATACCTCTGTTCTCTATTTCCTTTGACAATAAATATTTTAAAAGCCTTTAAGGAAATATTATTAAATGATATGAGAAATTGGTTTCATTTTTGTAGATTTTTAAAAAATAACAAACATAAATTTAAGATATTCTCTCTCTCACATACAAAGATGGAACTAACTTGATCGTTTCTATATTATATTTAGAATGCTATGCTTTTATAATTTCTTAAGTATGGTTTACTCCCCAAGGATCTCTATGTTTAGAAACTATTTCTGTTTTTCTGTTCTGTGTTTGAGTTTTTAAATTTATTTTTCATTTTTTTAAAGACAGGGTCTTGCTGTGTCATAGTCCTCTAGCTGCAGCTTCTTGCGTAGCTGAGACCACAGCCGTGTGCCATCACGCCTGGCTCTTCCAGTCAGGGTCTTCTTGCTATATTACCCAGGTCAGCCTTGAACTTGTGATCCTTCTCCCAGGTTGCTGGGATTTTAGGTGCACACCACCAAGGAATAGAACCTGGAATCTCCATGTTGTCCCAGTCTGCATAGCACAGCATTTAGCAGAATATACCACTATGGCTGGGCCCCATTTCTGATTTTATAGTGGATATTTTGCTACTATATTAAGGTGCAATTTTCTTTTCTTTCTTTCTTTTTTTTTTGGTCATAGAGTTTATGATTAAAAAAAAAGTAAAGCACTACTAAGTGCTTTACTCTTATTTTACTCTTATCTCATTTGCTAGGATGCTGGTAACTTTGTTCATTTCTCTGTCCCTTTATTTTTCTCTTTTTTTGGGGAGAGGTTTTTGCTATAGGGCATGTGTGCTTGCCAGAAAGACAGAGAGAGACAGAAAGCAAGAAATCACCCCCTCAGGGGGATGGCCACACCGCAGTCCCTTCTCCTCCATTTTCCTCTCAGGATCTTGGGCACACATGCACACGCGCCCCGCATGAGTTTAAGCCACCGGGTCCGGGACTCGAACCATGGTCGCCTGCATGGGAGTCCAATGATATACCCATTGCCCACCATCTGCTGATCCCCCTATTTTCATCAAGGCTCAAGAGCCCACCCAGACTAAAATCAAACATGCCCTTCCCCTACAGTTGACTGTGTTCTCCCAGCTGTTGACCTCAGAGCCTGCCTCTCTGCCTAAGTGGAAGCCCTCAGTACTTCCCAAGGCCTCCAGCTCCATCCACGTGGACCCATCTGTCTACTCTCTTTAAATGCCCTTCCTCACTGCCTCCTTTGTCTTTTTGCTTTTGTTAGTCTTTATAACTATTTTCCTCATAAACATTGCCAAATAAAACCGCATACCATCGATTAGTTGGTCTTTTGCATTCCTTTCTTCAACATCATCCAGAAAACCCACCTGTTCTAAGAAACCATATTGTGCTCTGCTCCAACCCCCTAGTCCAGGGCCTCCTTCATACACTCCTTGTTGTGTGTTATATTCTTGTCCCTGGGGTTTATAGGCCATAAGTGCCCTTAGGGATAGGCCTTTGTTCTTTGTTTGAAACAGTCTTATCTATTATGTAGTTTTGAGTCCATTTTCGTTTCCACAGAAATATAAATTCCACAAAACACAAAATCAAGTGAGTTCCAAAAGTAATTAATTATTTGTGTTGTTATGTTTTGAGCCTTCTAACACTTTTTTAAAAGAATAATTCAGCAAAGCAGAAATTGTGTTTTCAAAGGGAGAGCTGAAAAGGGTGTAAAATTACATATCAGACAGTAAAAACCAAATTCATGAATATATAAAACTAAAGAGGTTATTGCTTATTGTAAAAAGGTTGCACAGTGACAAAACTTAGTATTTTTCCTTATTTCAGTAGTTGTTTTTGGATATTACCATTTTACTTGAACTATTAGTTGTTTCGTTAAACTTCTTTTGAATTCCCTTTCTCTCTCTTCCTCCTAGAGGAAACAAGCTTCTGACAAGTGTTTTGAATATTTATAAAATTTGGATTGTATTGTATCATTGGCAACTAGTTTTTTTTTTTTTTTTTTTTAAGGTTTTGCCATAGGGCCTGTGTACTTGCCAGAGAAAGACGAGAGAGATAGAGAGAGGGGAAGTGAGGACTCATCCCCAGTGGGATGGCCACACTGTAATCCCTTCTCCTCCATCCTTCTCCTGGGATTTTGTGCGTGCATGTACATGCTCCCGACATGATTTTCAAGCCACTGGGTCTGGAACTATAACCATGGATGACCATGTGAGAGTCCTGCATCTTAACTACCACACTATCTGCTAGTCCCACAACTTTATTTTTTACCCAGTGTTTTTGGAGATTTATCAATGGTGAAATACGTGAATCTAATGCATGCACTTTAGCTGCTCAATAGAATTTCATGTATTGGTCTATTCCACTATCGATAGATATTTTAAAATTAGTTTTTATTTTTCACTATTAAAAACAATGAATTCTGAAAATTGTGCAATTTCTTTAGTATAGGTTTGGAAGGAATACCAGGATAACAGGTGAAAACAAGGGTTGTCTTTGGCAGTCCAGAGATAAGCCACACGATTTATAGGCACAGCCACATATACTACAGAGGAGTAATGTCATCTTACATTGAGGCTGTCAGTATGTCTGAACTCTCATTTCTTCACATGACCTACTAGCTCTTTTTATGTTTTTAAGAGAGATTTTTGCTATTGGATGCATGTGCTTGCCAGAGAAAAAGAGAAAGACAGAAAGTGAGAAGTCACCTCCCCGGGGTGAGGGGGATGGCCAACCCTTCTCCATTCTTCTCTCAGGATCTTGAGCACGCATGCACACACTCGATGGTTTTAGGCCACCAAATTGAACTGGGGTCGAACATGTGGAAGTCCAGTGACGTAACCTGCAGGTCCCCCATAGCTCTTTTTTATTTTTATTTTTTTGTAGAGCTTTTTGCTACAGGGAGTGTGTGCTCGCCAGCCAGACAGAGAGAGACAGAGAGACAGAAAGACAGAAATCACCCCCATAGGGGATGACCGCGCCACAATCCCTTCTCCTCCATTCTCCTCTCGGGATCTTGGGCATGCACGCACACGTGCCCGGTGTGAGTTTAAGTCACTGGGTCTGGGACTCGAACCGTGGTCGACTATGTGTGAGTCCAGCGACATAGCCATTACGCTAACTGCTGCCCCCCCCCATAGCTCTTAATGACACAAGTTTCCCATCTGCTTTTAGCCTAGATTTACATTATCCAGTAATTTAAAATAATTTGTTAGTGAAGGATGACACATGAGAGTACATTTTTTAGGTGTCATTTATGGCCAGAGTTTTATAGCTCCTGAGAGCATAGGGCCAACTTTTTTTCTTCTTAATACATGGGAAAAATTACCTGGTAGGATTATATAATTTGCCCAAAGCCACATAACTAGTCAAACAGGATGATTGAAACAGGATGAAATCCCAGGATAACACAAAATTCCCAACCCAATTTTTTCCCTCATCAAATCATTAGAGTTATATAAAGCATTTTGGTATCTCTTCCCACAAGTTTTATTAGGTATGGAAATAAAGATAGGGTAAAAACAAAACTAAAAGGATGCAGAGTCCTCCATAAATGTACATACTCTGACTTATCTTTAACTTCCTCATTTATTTCTTCATTTTAAAGATCTTGCAACATATAGTTCAGTCCTTTCACTTTCCACTTTTTTTTATCATGTGTAAATTACCCCTTCAGATTCAATCAGAAGGCACTAACTTAACATGTAATTTCTACCTTAAGAAAATACTAATTCTACCTATCCATATAGAGTAACCCCTTTCCCAGTGTCTGACTTCAATCTGGCTTTCTGTGTGTTTGTCAGATAATACTCCGCTGAGCTGAAGTACAGTAGAGAGGTCAAGTTGTTGAACAAAGTCAGATTGTAACATGAATTTAAAATAGTTTTGAAAAATGTTTTTGGCTGATTAATTCCTGTATTAAGTGGCGCTTAAAATAGTCAGGGGCTCAGTCCAAGTATGTGACCTTTGCTAAGTCACATCACTGTGGAGCTGTATCTATCTATCTATCTATCTATCTATCTATCTATCTATCTATCTTTTTTTTATCTATATCTATATTTTATTCTATGGGAGAGAGACAGAGGTAAGAGAGGAAAAGAGAAAGAGACAGACATTAACTATTTTTGACAAGGTTTCACTGTGTTGGAATCTTCCTGCGTCACCTTCACAATTAGCTAAGGTTACAGGCACACACAACAAACCAGTGTGTTTAGGTTGGTGCTGAAACTGAACTTGGGCCTCCCAGATGACTTCCAGTCTCCTAAGCAGTGGTGCTACCTATGTACCACTGTGGTTGGGGCCTTTCTTGTGTTTTGTTTGTTTGTTTTTTGTTTTGTTTTGTTTTGTTTTTAGTTTTTTTTGAGAGTTTTTTTGGCTATATGGCACGTGCGCTTGCCAGACAGACAGAGAGAGACAGAGAGTCAGAAAGCGAGAAATCACCCCCCAGGGGGGATGGCCACGCCGCAATCCCTTCTCCTCCATTCTCCTCTCGGGATCTTGGGCACGCACGCACATGCGCCCGGCATGAGTTTTAAGCCACCAGGTCCGGGATGCGAACCGCAGTCGACTATGTGGGAGTCCAGCGACATAGCCATTACGCTAACTGCTGGTCCCAATGTTTGTTTGTTTTTTATAATGATCTCTGCTTATTATAAGAGATATATTATTTTTCCATCCTTTTTTTTCATTAAGGTAGGAAGATATAAATGTGAATCACTTTTACATGTTCTGTATATGACTATGAGCTGTTAAAATTGTCTACCAAAAGATTGTTTATACAGTTAAAATTTAAAGGCTATATATCTCTTTCTTACTGAACTTTTAAGTGACGTATTAGATTTGAGGTTCTTAAAATTTCAAATTGAAAACTCTTTCTCCTGGGACCAGCAGTTAGCATAATGGCTATGTCACTGGGCTCCCATGTGGTCGACCGCGGTTTGAGTCCCAGACCCGGTGGCTTAGACTCACGCCGGGAGCATGTGCATGTATGCCCAAGATCCCAAGAGGAGAATGGAGGAAAAGGGATTGCGGCATGGCCATCCTCCCTGGGGGGTAATTTATTGCTTTCTGTCTCTGTGTCTCTCTGTCTGTCTGGCAAGTGCACGCGCCCTATAGCAAAACCTCTCCAAAAAAAAAATAGAAAGAAAGAAAGAAAGAAAGAAAGAAAGAAAGAAAGAAAGAAAACTCTTTCTCCTGATGATCATAGTAATGAAACCCTGTCTTCCAGATCATCTAAAAAAATAATGAGATTGGACTTTGTAATTTTCCCTTTTTGAGTTTTAATATAATTACCTAAGCCAATTTATGACACTAAAGCTAATGTTTTAATGCTGAAAAATAAGTGTAAGTATGTATAAGAATAGAAAAAAATAAAAGAAACACATACAATTATGTTTTCTGTTTCAGTCTTTGTAAGTATAAGTGAAAACTTTCACATTATAACTTATTAAACTTGTAATCAAATTATAAAGATTATAAAGCTGATAAAAGAAACAAAAGATAAAACATAGGTTGCAATAGGATAAAGTTCCTAGAAAACAGAGTAATTTTTAATGTCAATCATGTCTCTATTATTACATGGCTCGAAGTGCTCCTTGGGTGGTTGACTGGTAGGTTTTATTACTTCTACAAGGTTAAAAAGGCTGAATTGCTCTTCTTCTTGGAAACTGCATATCCTATAGGGAATAATTAAGACTAATAAGAAGCTAGAAGCAGAACCATGAATCGAATTAATGCTTCATTCTTTTTTTCCTCCTAGGATATCTTATTTGAAAAGAAGGTAAGCACCACATGCTTTGATTATTATGAATTCCTCTAAAAGCTTGCATTATCAAATCAGCATTTTGATTCACAATGGTAGATTAAGTGTGACTAAATAAAAATGCTTAATTCTTTTTAAAATGAGCCAATCTATATTGAGGCAGCCATCTGATTTCTTTTATATCCACTGCAGTTGAAAAATTTAGAAAAAGTAAGTATTTGATCTGACTCTCGAAAGTGATTTTAGAAACCAATGATAACCAAATTGCATAGGTTTTTGCCTGTTCCTTGTAACTGTCTTTATTCTAAGCATTTCTCTGGCACTAGCCTCTTGAGTCCTCTACTTTAGGTGATGTTGCTGATATTGGCAAGGATTAGTTGAAGTGTTTCCAGCTAAGAGACAGCTGAGTCACTCCCCTGCTGCAGGCCAATTGACATTGAACTTTTTCTCCTTCTGTTGTGAAGAAGAGGAAGCATGATGATGGCAACCAGAGCACATGGTAAAAGAAGTCAGCCAATATTGGTTGGCTAGACTTAGCACTCTGCATGATCATGAGCTTGCTGAGGACTATTATACTGGATGTGTATGTCTTAAAGCGAAAAGTTTGAACATCTGAATTCTGCCTGAAAATCTGTGTATTAAATATCAGCATATTAGCAAGTATTATTGCATAAAATAACCGAAGCCAACCAAACCTTGCAGAATTGAATTTTACATGGTCAGGTATACATATTCCATGTACCATTCAGAAAAAAAAATTGACAATTAAATTAGGATAGAGTGTGCCTTCTTATCAATTGCAACTTTGATTTTATACTCATGGTAAGAGTCTTTTAAGATGTTTTTAGATACAGATTTCAAAATCTTGTACCATAAGAGAAAAATACAAGCAAAGTAAATTGGTTATTTCTAAAACTTCTTCACATCAGAGTCTAAATCTTTTGACTCACTTTTTGTCTGAGTTTTTGATACTTCTGTTTTCCCACACAATACTGGCCTCTGTGCCCTCAAACACATCAGGCCAGTCAGGTGGTGTGGTGGTTAAGGTGACCGTATCTCACATAGCCTACTGTGTGGTTCGAGTCCTGGACCAGTGGCGTGAAAAACACAGTTGGTGTGTGTGTGTGTACACGCTCAAAATCTCAAGAGGAGAATTGAGGAAAAGGGCTTGTGGAGTGCTTATCCCCTCTGTGGGATGTTTTCTCACTTTCTGTCCCTCCCTGTGTCTCTCTGTCTCTCTTTAGCGAATGTACCTCATGGCAAAACAAAACAAAAAACAAAACATTGGCAATTCAGCATTTCTTAAGAACGCTGTGGAATTTTCTTCAGTTTCATTCTGTTTTGAAATGCACGTGTAGAAAACAACTAGTTTGTCATGATTAGGCCTGGTCAGAAGCTATTATAAGATTCATTCTGGTTTCAAAGATGTCAAAATGAGGAAAAATGTGCATCTTAGAATTGATAAAATATGGGTTCTGGCTCAACATCCAGCGAAAAGCCAGAATGCATGTGGATCTGAGGTGGACCTAGCCTTGTCCCTTTAACTGAAGAGCCTCTGCCCTAAACCTCTCCTTTTTGCCCAACGCCCAGAGAAAAGCCAGAATCCACGTTCATCTCAGATGGGCCTAGCCCTGCCACTTTAACCAGAGGGCCTCTGCCCTAAACCTTTCCTTTGGGTCCAACACCCAGTGAAAGGCCAGAATACGGGTGCATCTGGGGCGGGACTGGCCCTATCATTTTAACTGGAAAGCCTCTGCCCTAAACCTCTCCTTCCCGCCCAGCACTCAGCGAAAAGCCAGGTAGGGCAATCTCTGTCTTCTATCTTTGCCTCTCTCTCTCTCCCTCTCTCTTTCTCTAAAATTTTTTCTCTTGGGACCAGCAGTTAGCGTAATGGCTATGTCGCTGAACTCCCATGTAGTTGACCACGGTTCGCGTCCCAGACCTGATGGTTTAAACTCATGCCGGGCGCGTGTGCATGCACGCCCAAGATCCCGAGAGGAGAATGGAGGAAAAGGGATTGCGGAGTGACCATCCCCCCTGGGGGTGATTTCTTGCTTTCTGTGTCTCTGTCTCTCACTCGGTCTGGCGAGCGCACACGCCCTATAGCAGAAACCTCTTTTAAAAAATTTGTTTTCTCTTTTATATATATGGTTTTTTTGTTCTTTTTTAAAATCTGTAGCTACTGTCTCTCATCTCTAACCTCTCCTTTGTCTTGCTAATTTCAGAATTTATGTGCATCTGAAGGGGTCTAGCCCTGCCCCTTTAACCAGAAAGCCTCTGCTCTTTCCATGCAACAAGCTGCGCAGTTCTCAGGTTTTTTTTTGCCTTTTACTTAAAAAAAAAGTCTTTTTCCCCCTTTTCATTGTTTTGTTTTGACTTTTTTTCTCTTTGTTTCCTTTTTTTTTTTAACCTCACTTTCTTATCTTGCTTCTCACCTTGCTTCTCACCTTCCACACACTGAGTGTCTAGTCAGGTCAAGGTGCTCAGTAGCGAAACATCTGAATACTTTTAGGGTCACAGTAAAACTCAACCCCCACTAAACTGGTACAGAAAGGGAGAAACTCATCTTTATAAGTCTAAATTGAAGTTTCTTTATGTGGATATTACTAACACAGTAGTAGAAGAGAAATAGGCATAGAAGTACCTCACAGTAAAGTGAAGCATGTGAGCTTACAGTAGCAGAAATCTCTAACAAATTAGCCAAATGCGACTATACCACCAAATGACTAAAAATCAGAGAAGAGAATTTGCAAAGTGAGAAGCTAAGAGAGATATGGAGCTGAAGTAAGCATGGCTTATTTTATCCCATACACCTCTGAATTCTTAGTTGAAACCCCGCAGCTATTCCCTTGAAACTGAGGCCTTTATAATATCCAGTTCCATTGACAAAAGTGCAGGTTGCTTGGTGATGATCAGGGAAATGGGACTGCAGAAATATTGCAGGTCATCTCCTTCTGCAAGCCTCCAACACTCAGAATTAACTTCAAGAAGGTAGAAAGTAACGTATAATCAATCCATCAGATGACTAGAAAAAAACACAAAAGCACATGAAATATGGGAAATCAAGAAAATATCTCTACCCCTAAGGGGAAAGAACAGACCTTCATCATCCACAGACAGTACAATGGAACTCGTGGAAATGTCACATAAAGAATTCAGGATATTCATAGTGAAGAATCTAACATAGATGCAAGAGAAGAGAGACAACAAACTCCAGAAAATACAGGAAAAAAGAGACAATGCGTTCCAGGAGGAAAGGAAGTTCTTCCATGATATGAAAGAGGAAATACACACCATAAAAAAGAATAAAACGGAACACTTAGAGATGAAAGCTGTGATATAGGAAATCAAAACCTCCCTTGAAAGAATTAAAAGCAGATTAGATCTTGCAGAATATTGAATCTTAGATGTAGAATACAGAACTTCTGATCTAGAAAAATCCACCAAAAAGACTGAGAAAATAACCTCCCCAAAATATGGGTAATACTAGATTCTACTAGACACCCAAACATCTGGATAATCAGTATCCCAGAAGGTAAAGAAATTAATCAGGACATTAATAATCTATTCCATGAAATCCTGGAAGAAAATTTTCTAAACCTAGGGAGGCATTCAAATATCCAGACCAAAGAAATATAAAGGACCCCGCATAGAACTACTCAAAGAGATGGTTTGGTGTTGGTAAATTCTTTCAGGTTCTGTTTATCTGAGAATGTTTTTATCTTTTCTTCTCATATGAAGGATAATCTTGCCGAATATAGTATTTTTGGTTGAAATATTTTCACTTAACATTTTGAATATATTTTTCCATTCTTTCCTTGCTTGCATTGTTTCTGATGAGAAGTCTGATGTTAACCTGACGGGATATCCTTTAAAAGTAACATGATGTTTCTCTCTTGCCAATTTTAGTTTCTTGTCTCTGTCTGTGGTTTTCCTCAATCTGGCTATGATGTATACTGTAAAGACATAATTAAATGTAAATAAATTTAAAAAAAGAATTGATAAAATATAGTACAAGTCAAGTATTTCCTTTTGGCAAATAAAGGAGTATTTAATACCTGTATATTTTCAAATTTTGATGTATTATATAAAAGAGAACAGAAATTCCATAATTATGCTGAAAATGTTTATTCCCTCCCCCCCCTTTTTTGAGAAGTTTTTGCTCTAAGGTGCATGTGCTCGCCAGAAAGAGAGAGACAGAGAAACAGAAAGCAAGAAATCACCCCCCGGGGGGATGGCCTAGCCACAGTCCCTTCTCCTCCACTCTCCTCTCAGGATCTTGGGCATGCACGCACATGTGCTCAGCGTGAGTTTAAGCAACCAGGTCTGTGACTCAAACGACAGTCAACTACGTGGAAGTCCAGCAACATAGCCATTAATTACGCCAACTGCTGGTCCCTGTTTTTCCCCTTTTAACTGGCATCAATACATTGTATCTTTTATTTATTTGTGGAAAAGTTTAATGATTAGTAGGCTTTTATTAGGTTCAAGTTGCCTAGAATAATTTAATAGAGACAGAAATATATCCATGTATTTCTAAGATAAAAATTTTTCAAGGGAATATTCCAGTTACATAGACTGAATAACATTTGAAATGCTATTTTTCTCTGTGTTAATATTTTATCTCATTATTAATTCAGTGTGAACGTAAGATTTGTGAATGCGAGAAGGGCGATCCAGGTGATCCAGGGCCTCCTGTGAGTATATTTCTACTTTGCTTTTATTTGTTAATTTTTAAATTTTATTATTATTACTATTTTCTTTTTTTGTGGCCATAGGACATGTGCACTCACTGGAGAGAAACAGAGACAGTGAGAAGGAAAGAGAGAGATCACCCTCCCGCCAAGTGAATGGCTGTGCCACAATTCCTTCTCCGTTCTCTCCTGGGATGTTGGGGACACACGCACATTCATCTAGTGTGATTTTCAAGCTGCCAGGTTCAGGACTCAAACTGTGATTGGCCATGTGAGTGAGAGTCCAGTACCTTAACCATCATGGCACCTGCTAGCCCCAAGTATATTTTTCCTTTGAATTTAAGGTTAAGCCAGGAAGTCCTAGCAATAGCTCTATTTATACTTAAAAGCAAGGGGTATTTTTGTGCTGTTGAAAAGCAGTTGTTTGGAAGCAGGAATGGAAATACTGTCTCTTTTTTTCTTTCCTCTCTTTCTTTCTTTTTTAATTTCTAAAGGAATATATTATATCCTTAGAAATAAACCTGAAATTTCACTGATCTAAACTAAGGGGAGACTTGATTTAAAATGAACTTGTTCCACAAAAACCATTTCCGTGTCACTCTGTGTATAACAACTGGAGCTGGAATTTCTCAATAATGAAATGCATACCTACGCAAATATAATGCAAACCATTAGCTTAGGCAGTTTTGTCACATTAGATACAAGTGACACAGACCTTTCTGGAAGTTAACTGTTATGTCCACCCAAACCCAGCATGCAGTAGTCACACTATGTGGCCTCATATAGAGGAAGTTGAATAGGCTGCTTTGGGGGTGATTAGGGTGAATTCTCTGAGATGATATAGTACTTGGCAACCAAAGGCAAATGACAAGATTTACTATCATGGTTCAATATCTGATAAAATAATTCAGAAAGGATTGCATCCCTTATTTTCTAGCCTAATATCTGGTAGGTGACATGCCTATACTGGGGAGGCATTTGAAATGATTAACAGAAATGTTGAACACTTCTCTAACAACTGTCAACAGAAAACATCTGTGCTGCTTATTCAGTATTCCATTTATTTATGTGATTCCAAATCTTAGCCTTAGAGTCAGGAGCCTGGTAGAGATGTTTCACAAAATACATAGGTAAAATTTTTCAACTATGAGGGCCGGCAGGTAAGATGGTGGTTAAAGTGACTGGACTCTCACATGGCTGACTATAATTTGAGTCCCAGACCTGGCCACTTACTTCATCACTTTCCTTCCCTCTCTCTGTTTCTCTCTGGTCAACTTCAAAAATAAAGTAAAAATCAAATAGTGAAAATGAATAAAATCAGAAGTTTTTTTTTTTTTTTTAAAAAACTAATGCTTGTGTTTGGGAGTAGGTAGCTGAGTGAGTTCTGTGAATATATTAGTATATAATACATTTTTACCTTGAGACTTGAGTCCAAAGCCTATACTTTTTTTTGAATCACGCTACCAATCAAGGCATTAAAGGACTGGGACTTTTTTCTCCAAAATACCAAGTTAAATACATTACATAACAACGTGGCAGCTAGTTAAAGCTGACTTTGGCTAAAGATTTAACCTTCCCTTACTGCAAAGTCTTAGTTTATGTGTATTGGACCAAGGGATTTCACTTATGTTTTAATATGAACAGTAAGAAAGCTTATAATTGCTGAGCCAACCTGATATCAGTCACTGGTTATTGTCATGTTTTAATAGGAATACTCCTTTGAACTGTTATTTATCATATATTGAGTGCCCCCAAAACAGTTTTTAGAAAAGTAAGCTGTTTCGTAGCCTAAGAATAGGAAAACATGTTTTCTTGGAGCAGGATTGGAGAACGCCCTTCTTCCATCCTCTGAGATTGTCCCCTGGATTTCAGGATCTCTTTGACCAAAGGTGGACTGCTTCTTTCAAAAGTGACAGAGAGGGGAATTGTAGTAGTGTTCCATAATGAAGAGAGGGCAGGAACAAACACATCCTTCTGACTGTTGCAGTCTCTTTTTTTTAACTCTTCGTAAGAGTTCAATTTTATTTGCCAAGCTGTTGAGAGTAATTGTTTGAGAAGAAAATAGTTGAGGAAAGACAAATACATCATTGTTTTTTGAGCAAATCTAGGGAATCTGTTTAAGACAGTGCAGTTTTCCTGGTGTAGAAGGGAGAAAAAAGTTGCATCTCTGTTTAGGACATAAATGTTTTCTTATCTCCCCTCATTTTATGGGATAAAGCATATCAGAACTTATCATAAAGTATAGAAAACTAATAGAATAACTGCTCAAAACAATATTTTCCCACTTGCCTTCAGGGTACACATGGAAACCCAGGTATCAAAGGTGAGCGAGGACCGAAAGGAAACCCGGTAATTGAATAAACATCTTTTCTTTAAATAAATGTATCTTTTTCTAGCTATATTTACTCAAAGAATATAAACTAAAAAAAAAAGAGTATTATAATATCTGGTGAATATTGATGATATTTGTGAAAATACAGGATGTTCATTTTCTACATTATCTGTGTTGTGTTAGTTTGTATTTACCCATTTGGAGTAGCATATGACCATTGTAGTCAGTATTAGAAAACCTAGGGACATTGAATAAATAGAAACTAGTACTTAAAAAATAGTCACTCAAATGAATTCGGACAATTTTGCATGAACTACTAATGCATGTTTCAGATTGGACTGAATTTGTGTTTTATATGAATCCAATTTATGGATAACTGACCTACAATAATAACAACAAAAAAGAAAACACCAATGGTTTCTCACCTCCAGAACATTTACCCTAATTCTTTTATCTGTGTACCTATCAAAAAAGCCCTAGATTTTGGGAACCAGCAGTTAGCGTAATGGCTATGTTGCTGGACTCCCACATAGTCGACCTCGGTTCGTGTCCCGGACCCGGTGGCTTAAAAAACTCACGCCGGGCGCGTGTGCGTGCATGCCCAAGATCCCGAGAGGAGAATGGAGGAGAAGGGATTGCGGCGTGACCATCCCCCCTGGGGGGTGATTTCTCGCTCTCTGTCTCTATGTTTCTCTCTGTCTGTCTGGCGAGCGCACGCGCCCTACAGTGAAAATCTCTCCAAAAAAAAAAAAGTCCTAGATTTTTAAAGAAAAAAAATACTGTTCAGGTCATTGTTGGGATTATGGTATTCCAAATTTAAGAGTGACTGGTGTAATTACAAGGAAAGAAATTAGTAAATATAACTGTGAAAATCTAAGACAAAACTCAGTATTATTTCTCATTGAAATAATAATTTAAGGAGAAGATAATATAGGGAAATGTTTACATCAAATATAATGGACATTGAGTTGATTTGTATAGTACTAAAAATTTTATAAAACTGTTGTGAAACTATGAAGCCTCTAATAATTAAATGAGTAAAGGATACAAACAATTTTCAACAGAGGAACTAAAACAAGAAAGGGAAACCAATAGAAAAGCATTTCATTTCATTAGGTAATAAAAGAAAGTTAAATAGGGACAATTGAGGTACACTTTAATATTCATTATGTACATTTTAGAAACTTTGGAACCCAGAGGATTTTTTTTTTCTGGAAGCAGATTTCTAGTTCACAGAGTTTGTGTATGAATTTTGAACTCAAAAACAAATTATTTTCTTATAGCAATTAAAGCAGCAATGTTAAAATTGTAATACCTGAGGTTAGTAATGTGGTGATAAAACTGCTTTTTATTGCAAGGTGACTTGACACAAACTTCTTTCAAAGTAATTAGGCTATTCATAAGAGACATTCAAACATTTGACTGAATAATTATAGAGTTTCTGAGAATATTTTTAGGGAGATAAATAAAACACATGGAACTATTTTTGTCAATTTCTGCTTGTCAAGGAAGAAGAATGTATAGAATCCTTGGGTAGATTTACAACACACTAATGTATCTGATAGGGGTCTGAATATACCACCATGCCTTTTGTTGTTGTTAAATACCTGTTAAAGTATATGTTTACATTTCATTTATTTAGTTTATAATATAATTTTTGATACATAACGTATTTCCATAAATCTTAATGAAATTAAACAATCACTCTTGACATTTTGGGAAACATTCCAGAGCCCCTTGGAGAAAAGCTAGAATGGTCTACACTGAGTGAATACAATGCCATATTTGAGAATAATGACCCTGTTGTCAAATTGGAAAGGGGTCTAAGCTGTGTAAATATACCTGGATTCTTCAGCCTACACATGTGGCTTCACTCCAAAGGGCAAAGTTTATCTAAGCTGCTGTTTTCTTCTTTTGATTGAATGGTGAAAATGTCATGTGAAAGACTGAAGACTTTTTCCCTAATTGGGTTAACCTATTAAACTGGGACTTCTGAATAATGCATTATATTGAGCAATCTGTCACTCTGCAGGACTGGGGAATTTTGATTGAGGTTTTTGTTTGTCACAGGGTGATGCTCAAAAAGGAGAAGCTGGGGAACGAGGTCCAGGGGTATGTACATAACTGAAAACCTTCCTGAGAATGTGGTTCCACCATGCTAAGGTTCTATGATTGATCACTTTGATCCCTGTAATACAAATGTAAAAATTATTTCTGCCTACCTGTGGTCTTCTGATAGTTGAGGTAAATAATCAGACAGACATGATCTTAGAAGTGTAAATGTGGGGAGAAAATACTCTGCTCAGCAGGAGTGGTGATGGGGCCAGAAGTGTTCAATCACATGACAAACCCATGATACTTAACCTTTGTGAAAAGCTTAAATGAAAACAGTGTTTTGCTTCACTCATTTTTTTTCATGACAAGGATTAAGTTAGAATTCTAGGTGTATAAAAATTATATAGTCTAAACTATGCTTTTGTAGATCCAATTCTACAGACAAAATAAAATTTATCATTCTAATTGGCTTCTTATCTGGTAGATTAGAAGATAGCAGTGATTATCTGAGAGGTAATTGCAATATATTTCTTCTTTTCTGTTTTTTCCAGGCATTGCAGTAAGTATAGAAAATAGCAAAGAATTATACAGTTTATAAAAAGGAGGTCATGTTATATTGACACTGTCTGCTTGTCTCCTTGGATATGTGATCATAAAAAAAAAAAAAGATAAGCTGAAATAAAATATGTAAAGCGAAAGGAGTTTATTTGGCATAAACTTGAGGATTGATGCCAGCATGCTGCCAGATGAACAGGTTGCCCCAAACATGCTCACTCAGGTCTTACAATCTTCAAGCAGGTTTAAAAGGCAAAAAGAACAAGGGAAGGTGATGGGTCATGGAATGGTGAGATGAGGTACCTAAAAAAAAAGTGTTAGAAATGATTTGAAGGGAGAGTTTGTGTCAAAGTGGATGTTCAATGCTGACTGCTAGGACTCTGCTTTGCTAGAAGGTGGCAAGCCCCCACAAATTTTAGATGAAGTATGTGATCCAAGAGTTGTGTATTAGGCAGATTAATCTGTCAAGGCTCTAAAAAAGAGTTTGAAATGGGAACAAGAAGAAAAAGGAGCACTTAGAAGAAGATTTGTTGTTGCAGCTGACATGCAAGGTAACAGGGACATTGGCTAGGTATGTTCTGGCCACTAGGAAAGCCACTAGCCATCTGTGGCTACTTCGTACTTGGAATGTGGCTGTCCTAATTTAAATGTGTGGTGGTAGTAAAATCCACACTGAATTTTAAAGGCTTAGTGTTTAAAGAGGTTGTAACATATCTCATTGATCATTTAAAAATATCAATTAAATGTTGAAACGATAGTATTTTATTTAATTTTATTTATTCATTCGTTTATCTTAATTTGACCAGAGAATGACAGACACACAGAGAGAAGGAAAGTGAGAAAGCAAGTCATCAAGTCCAGGATTCAAACCATGGTCGGCCATGTGGGAATGTCCAGTGTCTTAACCACCACGCCACCTCCTGGCCCCAAATGATAGTATTTTGAACCTATCGGGATAAATGAAACACACTATTAAAAATTCATTTTACCTGTTTATTTTTAGAGGTTTCTTTTTG